TGGTGTTAGAGGAGAATATCGAAAGTGCCATGGGCTGCCAAAAGAACCAATCGATCTGTTTTGGAAGAAGTGCAGCCAGAGTGCTCCTTAAAGGCCAAGAAGGCTAAACTTCGTCTCTCATATTTTGGACATATTGTTAGGAGGGACCAGTTGCTGGAGAAGGATATCATGTATGGTAAGGTGGAGGGTCAGAGGAATAGAGGAAGACCCCCAACAAGATGGAATGGCCAAGTGGCAGCATCGATGTACTGAAGTGTGGCAACAGTAGTGAGGTTGGCCCAGGATCGGGCAGTGTTTCATTCTGCTGTGCACTAGGTTGCTATGGGTGGGTACTGACTCGATGGCACCTATCAACAACAACAACAAAGACATAGGGCCTCAGAAACCCTATACACGGTCGCTATGAGTAGAAACCAACTCAATAGCACCTAACAACAACATGAGAGACTAGAGCTTTTTCCAAGGCTGTAATCTTTAACGACCCATAGCGACCCTGTACAGGGATTCCGAGGGTGTAAATCCTTACGGGAGTAGGACGGCACTTAACAACAACAACAACAATCTTTAACGAAGCAGACTGCAGAGTCTTTCTCCCTTGGAGTGGTTAATGGGTTCGAACAGCTGACCTCACTGCTAGCAGCCTTACCCTTAACCACTAGGGCTCCTGCGTCAGTGAATTCAGCAAAATTGGAACTAGGTGAAGCTGCAGGAAAATACTGGTCACAGTCTTCTCAGAAATCTAGAGTTTGGAAGTAAGTTCAGAATCTGTCATTTCCTAGCCTGGTGCCTTTGAAACCAGGAGCTCTGCTGGCAAAGCACATTTAGGCCGTTTCCACTTCTTGGCTGTTGTGAATTCTGTTTGCAATGAACACTGAGGAAGAAGTATCTGTTTACATTACGTTTTGTAACAGGAATAATAATACTACCCAGTTTATATTATCTGTAAGTGAATTCAATTTTGCATGTAAGTTAGAGATGATTTTCAATGGTGCGAGCACTATTGTTAAATGAACAGGCCTGGTCATTCTTTGTTGTGAGAGCCGCTCTGTGAATTATAGGGTGTTAAGCAGCTTCCCTGACTTCAACCCACTAACTGCCAATAGCGTTCTTCCTTTGAGCTGTGACAACCTAAAAGTCCTCACAAATGGACCAATAAAAATCATTATGATAAAAGAAGAAATGATTGACTTTGATAAGGATTTCATTTTACTCGGATCCCACTCGGATCCACAATCAATGCCCACAGAGGCAGCAGTCAAGAAACCAATGTATTGCAGTGCAGTGAATAACTTCGTAAGTTTCTTCTAGCCACAGTCTTTGTAACTCCCACCAAACTGCTTTCTCTTGGTGGGTCTGGACAAGGGGAGGTGGGGAGAGATGCTGATGGATTGATAGAATTGTCACTGATCCATAAAGTTGTCACAGGCTGATTTTTTGAAGTCAATCATCGGCTTTTTTTCCTAGTATGTGTTAGCCTAGAAGCTTCTCTGATAACTCAGCATCTGAATAACATGGAAGCCTCCCGGACAGACAGGTGGTGGCTGTAGGTGAGGTTGGGAATCAAACCTGCGTCTCCCACATGAAGGTGAGAATACTATCACTGGCCCCTCAATGACTCATCTTACCTATCGCAGCTGTTATTAGTTGCCATCAAGTGGATTTCAACTCACAATGACCCCAAGTGTGCAGAGTACAACTGCACTCTCTGGAGGGTTTCCAAGACTGTGACTGTCTCGAGACAGACCATTCCATCTAGTATCTTACAGTTCTGAAATTTTGCTTCTTTGTCAGTTCGGGTGGGTGAAATTGGCCATTGAGCAGGGATAACACCCAGTCCCGACACTAACATAGGCTAAAGGTGACAGAACCCTGTCCAAGACCTTTGGGTAGGACTTCTTTGTCTAAAAGGGTATACAGTGATGTCTCTGTAGACTCACATTGGAGATGTACAAACGATTTGCCAGAGTTCATTCCTGTCCACTTCTTGATGTGAGAGAGGGAGAAAATTACATTAGTTAATGTGAAACTGCCTTGTTTTGAACACATCCAAAAATAGCCAAGGAAAAAATTATCTTCACTAATAAAGCAAGGCAGATATGAAGCCATCATGCTTGGAGGAACACAAATGATCTTATTATCCTGAGCATCTTGATGGTAACTATAAAAATTCATCTTTGAGTTTCAGGCAAAATATAAAATAGTATTATTACTTTGAGTTTAACTCTGTCTGTATCCTGCAAACCCAAGTCCTAGTTCAAATCATCTGAGTAGACTATCAAGATACATTTTCAGAGTAGTGTGCCCAGCCCTGTTCTATGTCTTTTACTTGGGTTACTGCAACCCTGGAAAGGAGATCTGACTCAGCTACATTTAAAAATGAAGCTCAGGGAACTTGAGCATCAACAGCTAATGAAGAGGAGAAATTAAAACTTGGAATCTCTCTGGCTCCTGAACGCTTTTTCATTGTTCTGCATCATGCTGTTTGAGAAGTCAGATCCTAAGAACTGAATTCTGACCTCCTATGTCTGACCATGCTGTGCATGGAGTCGCTATGAGTCGGTTCCGACTCGATGGCACCTGACAACAACAACAATGTCTGACCATCCCTACTTGAGTTTGCAGCAGTCCCACAAAACATGACTACAGAGTATGAATGTTATATGACATTAATTAACATTCTCTGGATCCCTATAATATGTAGGGCACATCAAGGATTGTGGTTATTGTAACCATCTAACTTGTGGTGCTGTGGGTTAATGCGCTGGACTGCAAAGTCACTTTGAACAGTAAGGGCTTTGTTTCAAGCTCACCAGCTACTCCACGGAAACCTTATACAAGGTCACTATGGGTCAGAAATGACTCGATGACACTTAACAACAACAACTTTCAAGCTTTGGAGGAAATACTCCAAAGTTCATACCACAAAGGGATCATGGTGGTGGTGGTGGTGGTTATGTGCTGGGGAATCAGTTACAATTCATAACAACCCTGTATAAGGTTTCCAATGGGAAACCTTTCTTTATGGGAACAGAAAGCCTTCTTTCTTTATGGGAACAGAAAGCCTCATCTTTCTCCTGTGGAACTATTGGTAGTTTCGAACTGCTGACCCAATAATAGTACTTTTTATATATTTATTTAGTATTTTTACCGAGTTCAAATTCAGCTTGTAGTACGGAATCAAACTGTGTAATGAAAATTCATATCATCTCTATGAAACATTATAATTCTCTCCATGGGCAAAAACTACAACACCTTGTTGAATATATGAATATTTTGCGATATCCCTAGCATTATACAATCATAATTCTGGAATTTTTACAAGCTTTCTTCAGTTGGTGATAAGGTAGAAATTCAGGCTTTAAATGATGTAGACACTGGGGAAGATAAAAGTAAACTGCAAAGTGGAAACACAGCTGTTCAACTCACCTCCCTGCCTCAAATGTGAACCACGCAGCATCACGTCCGTATCGTCGGAGGGCACTTAGTGGCCAAGAGATGAGCTTGGCTCTGGGGTTCTGGACATCCCAAAGACAGATATGCTCATATGTAATCTGCAAGGCACATTTGCCATGGACATCTAAGTTAGGAGATGGCATCAAATACACATTGAATCTCTCTAGGAGAAAAACAAAAGGTTAGTCTAAAGTCCCCTGGAATAAAACATCAAAGATACTATAGGAACATAGAGGCATTTAAAAACAGGTCAAGCTCACAGTCTTCTCTGTTGTGGTTGAATAAACAGAAACGGAAACCTTTTTCAAAAATGACCAGCCCCAGATAATGAGTTTTTCAGCAGCCCATACTAAATAATGTAAAAATCACAGTCTTTCTGTCAATATACAACTAAACACTATTTGTCCCACCAAAGACCATTTTTGGAATTTGTCAATTTGCATAAGAAAAAAAAACTTGGTATGCCAATAAAATACTAAGGCAGTAAGCCCACTAAAACCATCTCCCCCCGCCAAACACAAGTTAATTACAGCCTCACTTTGTGTTCACAAAAGATGCAGGTGCAAAAGAATTATCTCCTGGTTTACTGATATTTAAGTGTTGTGGATCAACTTGTAATTTTCATAACTGAATAAAAAATTACATCTCAAATTATTTAAAGATTTCACAATGGTACTATACACTTCACTAACCAGCAATTTGGACAAATGTCAGTGGGTACACTTGAACTAGTTTTATTAACAAAGAGATTTTGGGAGTCAAAATCCTAGGAAGAAATATTAATTGCTTTTATTTAGAGGATTTGTTAAAATGTAACCAAGATTACCTTAAATAAATGACTTAACTGATTACTACATCCAAATACTCACAGAAATAGTTATGGCAGTTCTGTGCTATTTAAAGGAAATTCATTAATTTATAAGTTACAAAGTTAAACGTCTTTACTTGAAATAACAAAAATAGTATGACTATAACAAATACAAGGAGCTCTGGTAGCATAGAGGCTACGAATTGGGCTGCGAACCACAAGGTCAGCAGTTTGAAACTACCAGCTGTTCCGCAGGAGAAAGATGAGGCGTTCTGCTCTCGTAAAGATTTATAGTCTCGGAAACCCTGTACAGGGTCGCTATGAGTCAGAACCGACTCCACGGCATATAACAACAACATAACAAATACATTTCCACCTACCCATCATTCTGGTGGACTGCCTACATCTAACAAAATAGTTTTGCATTAAAATGTAATGTTGTTAGGTGCCATTGAGTCAGTACCAACTCCTAGCAACCTTATGCACAAGAGATTGAAACAGTTCCTGGTCCTACACCTTCCTCACAATCATTGCTATACTGGAGTGCACTGTGCTAATTCATCTCATGGAGGGACTTCCTCTTTGTCTCTGACCCTCCACTTTTCCAAACATGTAATATTGGTTGTATTCTAAATTAATTGTTTTGATGATCAGCTATCAAAATTTTCAAAAATTTTATTATTTGAGTTTAAAACATGCTTATGAAGTGTCAAGACTCTGTGTAGTCATGCATCTACTATCCAAAATTTCTACATTACTCCCAATGCTCAATAATTAAATATTTACTGCCTTCTAGTAACTGTTATTTTAAAAGTATGTTTCTAATGGACCAAATTCTAGAGCAAGTAAGAAAGACTATTTTCATAAGAAAGCGTAAAAGAGACCTGTACCAATTTCTTTGCTTTGAAGTTCTATATCTCTACTTGGCTTAAGCACAGTAATAATGATGGCGGCATTTTGATTACAATTGTTTACAGCTACACAAATGAATATTTCTAACGTGCTTAAAAACAGAGTTGAGTTTAATAAGAATTCTTTGTATTTAGTTACTACTTTGTTGTTGTTGTTGTTAAGTGCTATAGAGTCAGTTCCGACTCCTAGTGACTCTGTATAGGAGTTCCAAGGTTTTAAATCAAGATGAGCAGAAAGCCTCATCTTTCTTTGGCAGAGCAGTTGGCTCGAACCTCAGGATCTTGTGGTTGGTGGTCCAGTGCTTATTGTATGCAGCCACTGAGATCCCCTATTTATTACTAGATTTTTAAAATTCCTATTGGACAAAAGAGGAAACTGTTGTAGTTGTTAAGTGCCAACGAGTTGGTTTCAACTCATACAGCTCTGGATAGTTTCCAAGGAGTGGCTGGTGGATTTGAAATGCCAACCTTGCAGTTAGTAGTCCAGTGCTTATGCTACAGCGCCACACCAGGACTCCTAAGGTACAGAAAATGCACATGGAGACGGTAACTCCTAGACACTGCCACTTATTGAATTCAATTTCTAAGAAATTTCTAAGAAAGATGCGGCTTTCTGCTCCCACAAAGATTTAGAGCCTTGGAAATCCTATACAAGGTCACTATGAGTCAGAACTAGCAAGGTACTGTCTCACAAGTGTAAATTGTGGAATAAATGCTGATCTGAGCACTCTACATTAAAAAAAGAAAAATTCAACCCTGTTGCGCATTCTTCTTTATGTTAGGGTTTATAAGCACTAGCTTCTGAACACTATGGGTGTACTCTCTGTGCCAGGGAACTCTACCAGAAGCCCTTCAGAATGACCTGCCCTTCTAAGTCTCGGTCAATAACCTTTCTTTGGAGATAGATTATGGCAGATGTGGTGCATCCAAATAATCTAGGCCTATAAATGTGTCACGAAGACATAGTTCACATTGGGAGGGGAAAGCATTTGTTACTAACAATTGGAGTTTGCTCTCACAGAAAAGTCAGTGCAATTTCACCTCTGTCACATTTGTAATCAAGCCAGATGACCCCATAGTCCCTACTGCTGTGATATGTCCTCATTGGTCAAGTCAACTGACTAAAGACGAACTCAGAGATCCAGTCTGCCATGTGATACACAAAAGAAGCCTTACCTTCAGACTCAATAAACCCACTTTGATGTTTGTGCTACGTGTTCAGGAATATTTTGGTCACTGTTATTTTTTTTTTATTAAATATTTATTTCCAAGTTAGAATTGAGCTCACATAGTTGGCTGAAGAGTTTGGATCAGAAAAGAAATCACAAATTTCAATAGGCTTGTTGTGATTGTAAAGTGATGGACAGTTCATTCTAACTCATAGCGACCCTGTATTGGGTTTCCAAGGAGCAGCTGGTAGGTTTGAACTGCCGACCTTGTGGTTCCCAGTAGACTTACAGTGGTGGAGACATTCATAAAATTTGGATTGTATTAAAAGCATCAGAGAACTTTCATGGCATTTTCTTTCATGAAAAAGCAAGAAAATGAGAAAACAATTATAATGTTGAGAAAGGGAGTCTTTCATAGTCACGGAATCCAGACACTTTTGACTTCCTACCCCGAAATGATACCTTGATTTGTCAACTGTATATTAAATAATCTTCTATTATTTTTTATTATTAGCATAATACGATTTTTCTTTTGACACTATAAAATCCACATATTGTAAATATAGGGCTGATAGTATAATCTGAAATTGAATGCTAACTAGTTACTGAAATGGTTAATGGGGTCTTTAGTTTCTCTAAGCTTCAGTTTCCTCATCTGTCAAATGGGCTATGTGGTAGTACTTTACATCATTATTGTTGTTGTTAGGTGCCATCGAGTCGGTACCAACTCATAGTGACCTTATGTACAGCGGAACGAAACACTGCCTGATCCTGGGCCAATCTCACTACTATGGCCACGCCTGAGTCCA